CTCTCTCTCTCTCTCTCTCTCTCTCTCAATGGTGTAAAAAGTGAATTGAAATTTAATTGTCGCACAATTTATGTAGAGATTTATGCATAAAATCTCAGTTCGCGTGACTCTCTGTCATTCATAATCATAATAATCAAAACATTTGAATGAATTGATTGAAAACTTTTTATTTTATATAATATTTTTTTGCCCTCACATTGAAAGGGAAAGTCATATGCAATATGTATAAACTTTTTTGCAGTACACAATTGTATGCAAAACAATGTGACAATGAATTCAATTAATAAGTTTTTAAACTACGTGAAATAAAAATGATATATAATTTTTTCTGTGTGTAACTCAACACTCAAAAAAGTGCTGAACAAATAATTTCAAACAAATTAAACACAGATTTTTATACAACAAAAATATATGTAAACCAAAAATTTTGATTTCAAACAAACTTTTTTGAAAATTGTTGGAAAATTTATAATCAAATAAAAAAATGATTGACATTTTGTGATGTAATGCAAAAATGTTATAACAATTAAATAATTTATTAATCCAATTGTGACAATCATTCGCTATTGTGGTAATCATCAAAATCTTTGTGATAATCCCAAATGACATATCACTTCTCCATTGAGATCGACTCCACCGGCAAACTCGCCATCGAAGAGGAAAATAGTGGCAAAAAGTTATGGAAACTATCAGTCATTATGTTTTTGATCACTATTTCTCTTCTCATAAGTAAGTTATTAGCGATTATTTTGTATTCAAATTGAAATTGATTTAAACTTTTAAACTTTTTAACAAAATTATTTTATTTAATAAACATTTCGCACAAAACTACACGACATGTGTTGTAGTGATCGGTCTATTCATTGTGGAAGGGCTTCAGTGCCGACAGACCGACGAAGAGGCCGACCAATGCGGACAACATTTGACATTCTTCGGCGATCCCGATGTTGTCATACCGTTGAACGAAGACGATATGGTCCGGCACTGCAAGTATGCCATTAAACTTAATACAACACATCAATCGCTAATTAATAAGACAATTAATTACATATCAATTATTACTAAATGGATATATCACTGTATGTTTTAGGCTAATGTTTGACTCAATCAAATGCCTGCAACAGTACGCCCGGACCTGTTTGCCGACATTCCCGCAACAGGCGCTTCAGATCTTCACGTACGACATGAAACAAGTGATACAACAGCGATGCCATTCGCCACTCGTCAGGCAAAGTACTAAATATAAATTATAAAACAGTAAACATCTCGATCAAAATACTCACCACTCACTAACCCTTCCCCTCCAATCCCATCCCATACCTCACCACCCATTGACACCACTCAGACTTTCTAGAGTACGCCAAGTGCTGGTCGCCGAAGTCGCGTATGCATAAGACCAACATCTGTTCCGACAAACACATTGTCCAACTGGAGTACATCCGGTGGCACGTGGACCCCGAGCACCAGATACCGGCCATTTGTTGCACATACCATCAGCGGCACGACTGTATCAAACGCGAGATATCGGACATATGTGACGACCAGAATGTCGAGTACGTCATCGAAATCATCGACGGCTCAACTCAAGCCATGTTTGAGTTTACGTGCGATCAGTTCACGTCCACCAAGTCCTGCAACCGGCTGTTCAACGCCACCGTTTGGGAACCGCTCAAGAATGTGGTCAATACTAATGATGAAAAACTGTTGGCCGCCCGACACAAGCATAAGAGCAGTCTCGGCCCCATTGTGGCCATTATTACACATTTTGAGATGTAATAACGCCCGACATGTGAGGCGCTGCCATTGTGTGATAGTTGTTTTGTTTTTAAATTAATTTAACTAGTACTTTTCAATTTAACTAGTTCAATTTGTAATTAATTTTTTGTTTTTGTTATTTTATTGATATACTGTGTACGACAGTTATATAGTCGATGACCCGGTATCTAATGCTATCGGTGTATGATTATTATGGGTATTAAATTAAAATAATTAAATTTTTTCAATTACATCATTTAATTTGTATTTTAATCGTTATTTTATTTATAAGATGACTATAATTATGTGGAAAATTATTACATAGTTTTAAAAAAGTGGACAAATAATTACCTTCTTCCCACATTTGCAATCATTTAGTACTAAATTAGTTTTATAAATCTCCAGCATTTAGGACATAATAAATACATATTCTAAATACATAATCTATTAATATTAAATGTATATAAAATACAGGGTGATCAAGGTTATATTATAACAAATTACAATATAACTATTAAATTAATCACATTTATAGACACAATAAAACAGACATTCATTAACCAATTGTTATAATTAAGTATTGAAAATGCATTTGCATTGAGTTGAAGGCCAATGAAGTCATTCCCATAGACTTTTGGGACATCTTTGGAGACAATAATTTGTTTATAATTTATGAAAATAATTGCTTTTTCACATCAATAATTACTCCATAAATCATTTATTAGACAATTACTTCGATTTGATTTGAAATGCTAAATATTAAACAATTCACACTATTTATTGACATTTAATTAAGTCCTAAAGAATTTTATGTTAAAATATTTGAAGGAAAATATTTAATTGTTAAAAAAAAGTTACTTTATATCAAAGTCTTTGTTATGGAAAATTTGTTTAAATGTTATTTTAATAATAAAGGCATTTAAAAAATTGAATTGAATAAAATTGCTAAAAATGCTTGCAATATAAATGATGATTAAAAGTTCCACTAAAAATGTGCTGCATATTCATTGTCATACTGCTATTATGTAAGTAATAAATTAATAAGAATTTAGATTTTGTAAATAAAATTAAAATCCTAATTACTATTACTATATGCAGTCATTAATATAACAATAATTGAGACAAACAAATGTGAGATATCTATAGAAGAAGCGGACGAATGTGGTAAACGCGTAACATTTATTGGTGATCCAGATTTTAACATACCATCAAATGACTCCGAATTGGACACACTTTGCAGGTATTTTATGATCAAAACTAAACAAAATAATTAACTTCTTAATTAAAGTATTAAAATATTGCTACCATATTAATTTTGGTGACATTCAATAGTTCTATGTTGGATGGGGTGAAGTGTTTGCACGACTTCGGGCGCAACTGTTTGTCCGCCTTTCCAAAGCAGGCGTTGGGTATACTCACTAACCGTCTCCGCAAAGTCATACTCAGGCGGTGCCGACGACGTCGGGAAAGAGATAGTAATTATAATTAAAACATTATATATAAAACCACTAAAAAAAACTTTACAATACATACACTTTACATGTACTGCATATATCATAGGGTTCTTGGCGTTTGCCAAATGTCTTCAGCCTCGGGGGCGACTCCGGCGGACCAACGCCTGTGTGGACAAACACATCGTTCAGTTGGAGTACATTAAGGCTCGGGTGGGACTGGACTCGACCCTACAGGCCATTTGCTGTACGTTTCATCAGCGCAATGACTGCGTCCAGCGGGAAATGTCGGCCATTTGTGATCAAACAGATGTCGACTATTTGATGAAAATCATCGACGACTCGACCAAAGATGTGACCACTTTTGCCTGCGGCCGATACGCCAGCACCGAGTCATGCGATCGCCATTTTCAGGCATCTGTTTGGCAGCCATTGAAAGATATCGCCGACACTTGTGATGATAGACCCATAAAACATAATCATAAGAGTGTTTTAGCGCCCATTCTGGCCATCATTACTCAAACTGATATGTGATTTATATTAGTCTTGGTTAATTTCACTCACCCTGGTGGTTTTCATAAACATATACTGCTTAAAATTCGTTAAATTAGATTGAGATACACCTTTTTAGTACAATTATAACACCGCAAACACATTATAAGTGTTATTATAGAAAAATCTATATTTTGTGTTCAGTTTAATGACATTTTATATGCTATACTAATAAATGTGGAAATTTTACTTTTTAATAAATTTAATTAATTAAAAAAATGGAATATTAATATTGATTTCAGCGTTTTATTAATTAATGTTTAATGGTTGCAATACAACAACAATCTATTGCTAATCACTTGTATTATTAATCAAAATGTTTACAAAACTCACCCTTGCTAAATTAATCACCATTTATGTATATTTATTGTCTGTATTTAATATATACCAATGTCAGGTAACCACCGAAACAACGACCCAGAGTATGTATTAATGCTATAATAATAATACATTTAATACATTGTAATTATAATACATTTAAATCAATTAAAACTGGGATTCAAACAAATGTCACTTAAAATGCAGAAACATTTGAACAAAAAGTTTTAGACAACCAGAAGAAGGGCGAAGAGAATCTCAAGACATTATCGCGATCTAAGGCCAGCGTTTGGGTCGACACTAATAAAGGCAATATATTTAGGTATATATACAACTGATTATAAATTTACCTTTAAACTTTATCCATGAGACTAATTAGTATTTTGTCTAACAATTATCAGTACAAGTATTGGCAGCAGTCATATAGAAAAGGACAAGAATGGTAATAACGGGACGGGAGCAGCGGTGGGCCGGTCATCAAACATGTTGCTAACACTGATGATACAGCCCGGCGGACAGACACCCGTCACCGAAGTGAGGGCCAGCGATGGCCACGAGTCCAGCCTTAAGCCCATACTATTGCTGTTACAACAACAGCAAGACTTGAGTGAATTGTTGTTAGAAAAACAGGAGAAAGTGGAGAAAATGAACGTTCATTTACAGCAACAGGTATCGATGGCCACGAGTCCAGCCTTAAGCCCATACTATTGCTGTTACAACAACAGCAAGACTTGAGTGAATTGTTGTTAGAAAAACAGGAGAAAGTGGAGAAAATGAACGTTCATTTACAGCAACAGGTATACACTTTTTTGGGTTCACTAATTACATCGGGCACATTCACCATACAATTTATATTATTTAAGGTTTTGCCAGGTCAATTAAGGTTCTGTTTATTTATAATTTACATTATATCAAGGGCCTATTCCTGTCACAGATAAACATGTATACATAAATGTATACACATTTCAACACACTTTTATTGTAGGCATTAATTTATACTAATTAAAAATTTAACATCAAAACCTATGTCAATAACCCCGATGTTAGACATACCGGTGCTGACTGACTGACAGCCAGCACCGGGCAGTACCTGATCCCTCAGCAACAGCACTAACAGACACCACGCGGGGCAAGCGATCAATCAAACTCAGCATTAATACAGCTATTAATAGGGATTTATTAATTTAAATTTCATCCATACAAACAACTTGTGGTGAAAACAATAGATTAAAAAACATTAAATTTAAA